CTTCTCTTTCCAATTCTAACAAAAAAAAAAAAAAAGAAACAATTTCTTCCAGGTGTTGACGGTGACGCTGTCCGTGAGCGCCATGATCCTCGGCGTCTCCAGTTACTCGTTGACGGAGTTTCAACAGCGTAGAGCGTTCCTGGAAACTAGGCAGAGTTTGGAGGTGCAATTGGTGATCGAGGAGCAGAGCACCGAGCAGGAGAGATTGCTGCTCAGCGTGCTCCCTGAACACGTGGCGGTTAAGATGAGGCAGGACCTTGGCGCCTCGCTTGACACCCAGTTCAAGAAAATTTACATGTCCAGGCACGAGAACGTCTCGATCCTGTACGCGGACATAGTCGGATTCACAGCCATTTCCTCCACGTACAGCGCCAGCGAATTGGTCAAGATCCTGAACGAGTTGTTCGCACGATTCGATCAACTCAGCGAAAGGTTGGTGAAATGATCCTATAATTATATAAAAAAAAAAAAATATACGCGAAAACGATAATAATAATTAATAATAATTAAAAATAATTAAATTCGTTAAATTTTTATTAGAAAAGAGATTAGAGATTTTTTTTAAAAAAGTTTGAAGAGAGGCTTTTCTTTTTCTTTGAGAATTCTCGAGAGTTAACAGAGGAAGAGCAATGCTTTAGCAAGATAGGCCGAGGTACACAGCCTCTCGTGGCCTTCGTCCAATCGTGGAGATCGAGCTGGGGAGGGGAGGGGTGGTCGATAAACGAACAAACGGATTAATCGGGGAGGGAAAGAATTCGTTCGTTTACCATCCGCTGTGACCCGGTTACGGACCCTTTTCACTCCCCTCTTCCTCGACCAGGGGAATAATGAAAATCCTGAAATTGCCAGCCCCTAAATTGACTTTATCGGCGTGTCCTTCCTTCCTTCCTTCCGTCCTCCACGAATGAAGAAAGACCCGCCGAGTCCTTCACGAGACTTGCAATCGATACGGCCGGGGACGAAGCGACACCGTTTGATAATTTCTCTTTCTCGATTCGTCCACGAGGAGCACGAGCGAAGACGTTGTTTCAATTTATGTTGTTGTTTTGTGTTTTTGGGGAATTTTTTAATCTAATTTCGTTTTCTGATTATTTTGGAGTATACAACTCCAACGATGATAATGCAAAAATTTAATTGATATTTACATAGAATAACACGGAAAAGATTCGAAAGAATATCTCTGTTTAAATATTGAAAGAGGAATTTTCCAAATCCATTTTAAATTTTAAGTGGTTCATTCGGTTTCAATTTGTATCGCGTATAAAAGAAAATATTATTCCAAGAAGGATCGATTAAAATTCAATGTAAAATCTTTGGCAAAAGTAGGGTGGGAATTTAACTCGTTGAAAAGCGGTTCGAGATGATTGAGGATTATCGAAACGATTTTCGAGAAAGGAGATTCGATGATAATTGAAGTCTGATCTCTCTGCGAAGTGGAAATGCAGAAAATTCAATCGGTTATTACAGAGCTTGGTAAAAGGCGCACCCTTGGATGTTAGTGGTACAGGTCAACGTATAAACCCAACGGAAACTCCAGCTTGAGATTCGTTCCTTGACGTGTATCCGCCGAAGAGAAAACGAGAGATCAAGTGAAAAATTAAATCCTCCTCCTTTAAAATCCCCACTCAACCCCATTTTGGGCTTAATGACGGGGTGAAGCGATCAACAACGATCCCCTTCCAACTTTCTCCAATCCCTTTTCTCGGCCAAAAAATTTTACCTCCCTCCCTCCCTCCATTTTAATTCCACAAATTTGAATCGATATCGATGAAGAAAAATTTTCCAAAAACCTTCAATTTACCCTTCCTTTTTCTCGAATTTCTTTTTTTCACGCGGTGAAAAAAATTCTTGGTTCAGGTTCGAGCAGCTGCGAATAAAGATCCTGGGCGATTGTTACTACTGCATCAGCGGGGCTCCAATAGAAAGGCCGGACCACGCTGTCCTCTGCGTTTACATGGGTCTATCGATGGTGGAGGCCATCAAGTACGTGCAACAAACGACCAACAGCCCGGTCGACATGAGGGTGGGAATACATACAGGGGCTGTGCTGGCCGGTGTCCTTGGCCAGAGGCAATGGCAGTTCGACGTCTACAGCAAGGACGTCGAGTTGGCCAACAAGATGGAGAGCAGCGGAATGGCGGGGTGAGAATCGCTCCAATCTTTTTCAAACTTTTTATTTTCTTCTATTTTATTATTTTTTATATCGAAAACAAAAGAAGTAGAGGGTAAGGCCAAACACTTGATCAATTATATTCGAATATATATATATATTTATACGAATAAGTGGGTTTCGTACGACATTTCTCGACCTCGTCGAAGATCGAAAGAAAGAAAGAAAGCTGGCAAAATTTTGGTATAATAAACAATATCGATGCACGAAACCTTGACGCCTGACACGTAATGAGCTCTCTCCACGTGTCTTTCGACATTAATTACCCGGTGAAATTACGCCTTGCGAGCACTTTTTTTAATACCCTGTCGTAACTTTAATTTTAGCCGAGGATCGAGATATCTCCTCCCTCTGAAATCCGTTTACCCGCCCATCTTGTAATTCTTCCTTTTCTTCCACCAGGCTAATGCGATCGAAAATAATTAACGTTCCATCTTCTGTCACGCGAGGTTTCTTTCCCTTTCTATTTTTTCTCGAAAAAAATCATCATCATCGTTCAGTATAATTTTAGCGAGTTGAAGTTTTTTTCAAACGAACGAAAGTTTTTAAAATTTTCATTGAAAATTCATATTTCGCTATCTCGTTAAATAAATTAATTAGAGAAATTAATTAGAAAAGATGTTTAGTTCGATCTTGTTGTTATTATGTATATTCAGAGTTATCTAAGTGTCTTCGACAATAATTCTTCGATGAATAGAATTCTTCTTTTGTTTTCTGTTTGATTTATCGTTGGATAAAATTGGAAAGGATGTTTGTGAATCGTTTCCCTGTGAAATGAAAAAAAAAAAAAAGAAAGGTTGGAACGAGCGAATAATAATGGTTCGAAGGAGGGTGCACATCTCGAACGCGACGCTGAGCTTCCTGAACGGGGAGTTCGAGGTCGAGCCAGCTCACGGCGAGGACAGGGAAGAGGCACTCCAGAAAGCGGGGATCGTCACTTACTTCATAGTCCGCGCGTTGAAACCCTTCATACCGGCTGTGACCAAGAGTCTGGCCTCGCTCACGGACGCGGAGAACAGGAGGGCGATGGAGAACTTGGGGGATGGGAGGAACAACAAGGAGGACTCGGAGGAATTTAGGCAGAGGCTGAGGAAGGAGCTCGACAGCAAAAGTAAACAAATTGAGGCATCGTTTTTAATCTCGATCGCAAATTTATTATTTTTTTTGCTTTTTTTTTTTATATATCAGCATCTGATGCTGATCGACTTGCGAGGGATCGAATATTTTTTAGATAAATTTCAAATTTCTTTTTTACTATCGATCTCGAGCTTACTTTTTTTTATATTAATGTCAATTTAATTTGCGAGAGATTGAATATTTTTTAGATAAATTTTGGTAAAATTTTTTTTTTACTCGATCTCGAGCTATTTATTTTTTTTTATATGAATGTCAATTCAACTTGCGAAGGATTGAATATTTTTTTTTTAGATATTTTAGAAATTTTGGTATAGTAAAATAATTTTGAAAAAAAAATATCTTTTTTACTATCGATCACAAATTACTTATTTTTTTTTTAAATAAATATCAGTATTTAGATATTGATCGAATGTCAATTCAACTTGCGAGGGATCGAATATTTTTTAGATAAATTTTGATAAAATTTCTTTTTTACTCGATCTCGAGCTACTTATTTTTTTTATATAAAAATGTCAATTTAACTTGCGAGAGATTGAATATTTTTCAGATAAATTTTGGTAAAATTTTAGTAAAATAATTTTGAAAAAAAATCGATCACAAGCTACTTATTTTTTTTTTTAAATAAATATCAATATCTGATGTTGACCGAATATAAATTCAACTTGCGAGGGAATGAATATATTTTTAGACGAATTTA